GTCAATATGAAAAAAGTAATTTCTGGATTTTGAGAAATTTTGCCTTACTGATTTTTAAAAATTCTTTATTTGTGAAATTGTGATGAATTGAAATTCATTAATCTCAGCAACGGCTCAATGGATCGGGGTGCTCTCACCTTTGTTCGAATTGTCTTTTAAATTACTAAAAATTATTTGCTTGCATCGATACTGTATATAGTGCACAGAATTTTCTAGGTTAGAAATAAATTTTCTCTATGTATTTTTTATACCTGTTTTATTGTTTTACACCTTTACCTGTATTTCCAAAATACATAGAGAAAATTTATTTCTAACCTAGAAAATTCTGTGCACTATATACAGTATCGATGCAAGCAAATAATTTTTAGTAATTTAAAAGACAATTCGAACAAAGGTGAGAGCACCCCGATCCANATAAGGCAAAATTTCTCAAAACCCAGAAATTATTTTTTTCATATTGACCCTGCGCACAATTTCCAAAAATCAAAACTTACCTACATCTTATAGTTTTTGTGTTATTGATGGACAGTCATATCTACCGTTCCCCTTATGTCTGGATACAATTGGGCATACCGATGGATTGGTGCCAAAAAACAATAGTTCCCAAAAAATTTATTTTGTTCTAGTACAATTCTACGATTTTTAAAGCTAAATAAACGACTAAATACCCTTTTGTCAAACACTTTATAAACCTCAATGTGCTTTCTAACATCAGATATAACCCGAGTGGTGGCGACCATCACGATAGAAGTGCCGGAAACTGTGTCAATACCTCGAGTCGTCGCATATCTCTCGCCAAACACAGACCAAAACAGCCGCTCACGTAAAGAACGGCCGCTAAGTAGTAGAATAGAGTGCCTCCGCCCACGAGGCCGTCCACTACGGCCAGGGATGTCAACATACACGACAATATGGCGTATATTAAACACAACCGCTTTTTCTCCTTATTGGCCACCAAAATGCCCAACGTTTCCAGTAGTAGAGCCAATATACCCAGGGATACGGTTATAGGTCTGACGATACTCTGATTGTGGGGTTGGGGTTAGATTTGTGAGTAATGTTGTGTCTCTTTTGTACTTACCCAGGTGTTCATAATGAATACCGTAGCGGTGCTAAAGAAGGCTATGCCACAGCCCGCATACATAGCCCACTGTATGTATCGGTACTGTCTGTCCGCGTTTTCATAAGTCATAGAACGGGTAGATTTGACTGTGTACTTGGTGATTGTTAAGTATTTACACAAATATTAAAAATTCACATAAAGTAATTACATATATGTATAATAGTTAACTAAAATTTAACGTATAGTCGTCATTTTAATTAATGCTTTTGAAAAGTAAAATCTGATTATTTTGTGTTGTAAAATTCAAATAATATTGCGTTTTTCATAAAGTGAAATAAATAATTAATAAAATGTAAATTGTCAAAACATAATAGCTACTACTTAATAGCTTATTGATTGTATTATTTAATGTAATATTTATTACAACAAAGGTATTGCAATACCTGTCTGTATTTGTGTCGAAAACAATCAATACTGTTGTCAACACATGAATACAAAAATAATAATGAAAACATTTTGGCATAATGTCACAAATACTTTGACATTTAATTTTTGTATTATACATTATTGTATTTAAAAATATTAAACTCATTAAGAAATATTTACTGTGTAGTGAATATAATAAATATCAGCAGTCTAAAATTAATAATTACATTTATTATTTAAAAATTCTGTACAAACTGGGTAAGTATTTATTGCAATCTATTTGATAATTATTAGAAAATATAACTATTTTACAACTTCTAAATAAAATAATAAAACTAATTTAAATAAAATATTTAAATTATTAAGCTAGTTACTTTATATATTTCTGTACGTTTATATAATCCAGGACATTAACTAATTAATGTCACATCATCGGCACTTCCGGCGCTCGTACCGGTCGGCGCCGCCTAAACTCGTGCCGGCGATCATCTCGTGTCAGACCTCCTGTTGTCTCGTCTTTCTGGGCATCGCTCTACTTATCGCCGGAAGTATAGCCCGTTTCGTGGCCGGCAATGACAGCCCGCCCTCCAAGGAGTTCGACACCAAATTCTTTAATGATGTATTTCCCTACCATTCCCTTCATTAATAACTCGTAAAATAACTTTAATTACTTTCTCGTAGGCCAATTTCGTGGCCGGCAATGACAGCCCGCCCTCCAAGGAGTTCGACACCAAATTCTTTAATGATGTATTTCCCTACCATTCCCTTCATTAATAACTCGTAAAATAACTTTAATTACTTTCTCGTAGGCCAGGAGTGACTTTGCCAAAGGTCCCAGATTTGTAGGTCTGTCCACTTTAACATGTATTTTATTTTTATAGTAGTTTTTATATTTATTGTGTTTTTAGGGGGAATACTATTGATAATTGGTTCGGCAATAACCGGGGTCTCTATCATCGGTTTTATAATGTCTTGCTGCTTTTATGCTAAATACGAGAGGGAAAGGCATTTAGTTACAACGGCTCAACCCATGCCTAACCCCATTCCATCCAACCCTAACATGGCTGGTGCCTATCCACACGCACCTACACCTATACAGATACCCGTATCAAATGTCGACTATCCATATAATATGGGTAATCAGTACCCGGGACCTGTCGTATCAAATGGTGTATATTAACGTTTTGTATTCATAAACATACAGTTTCAATTATAACTCATAGCTAGGTTATTTTTTAATATGCATATCAAGTGTATGTGCCACAAGTACTAATCAATTCAATATAAACTAAGCATTTTAATTTGTAAAATTTTCATTAGTTGTAATATTTTGATATTGTGTTTAATGAAAATTTATTTAGTTTTAAAATACCCTACTCTGTTAATGTTTTTGTATAAGTAAAATAATTTTAAATTTTATATTTATTGCATATAAGTTATATAACACACTATCTGTTATTTATTATATAAATACATCTATTATATACAGTAATTTTTGTTAATAACAATTAGATTTTGAAGTTAATAGTATCCAAGGTAAATCTAAAATTAAAATGATGGGGATGGGAGTCATTCTTGTGATTTCATTCATACCATTCATTTAGTACTCAATTATTCAAAAGATTTTATTCAGTATTCATGTATTCAATGATTTATGCATTTCATTAAAAAAGTCGTATAACTATTATATATGACATACCAGTGCTCATTAAATGTTCTTTAAGTGCTCATATATCCAGCACCTGGAGGTATACTATGGAGGGCACGTGTGCGACAGACAAATGGCGGGGCAAATTTGGTAATTTCACCCTGATAGGCAATGCTACCGTCAATGATGTTGCCACAACCAGAACATGGCCTGCAGTCTAGTTAAATATGTATGAGTTTTATGATAACCACTCATAGGATTAGTATAATTACAATGTATTCATCAAATCATGTAATCTATTCGTACAGATGAGAGAGTGTGCGATACGGAACGGCACCGGAATGTCACAACAGGAACTGTATCTCAAATACCCGTATGTTTTGGGTGAGTTTTCAAGAATAGAAAGGTGTGTCCAAATGGGAATTGAGCTCATGTCCGACACCTTCTGTGAGTCCTTAACTCCCGTTCCCGATGTTATAGACCCAAACAAGTGTAGGCTGTTTATGGATTGTAGTGTCGATGACCTGTTGCACTCAAACACTGCTACCGTTCCCACAACGAGTGCCATAGAGTCCGAGACCGACGCCCCTCATCCCAACCCCACCAATAAATGTTCTTTAAGTGCTCATATATCCAGCACCTGGAGGTATACTATGGAGGGCACGTGTGCGACAGACAAATGGCGGGGCAAATTTGGTAATTTCACCCTGATAGGCAATGCTACCGTCAATGATATCCCTGCAGTCTAGTTAAATATGTATGAGTTTTATGATAACCACTCATAGGTTTAGTATAATTACAATTCATTCACCAAATCATGTAATCTATTCGTACAGATGAGAGAGTGTGCGATACGGAACGGCACCGGTATGTCACAACAGGAACTGTATCTCAAATACCCGTATGTTTTGGGTAAGTTTGCAAGAATAGAAAGGTGTGCCCAAATGGGAATAGAGCTCAGTCCGACGCATTCTGTGAGTCCTTAACTCCCGTTCCCGATGTTATGGACCCAAACAAGTGTAGGCTGTTTATGGATTGTAGTGTCGATGACCTGTTGCACTCAAACACTGCTACCGTTCCCACAACGAGTGCCATAGAGTCCGAGACCGACGCCCCTCATCCCAACCCCACCA